GGGAGCGAGACGAGCCGTCAGCTCGCCGACATGGTCCCATAAGGGGCGGACCAGGGGCAATGGAAGAAGGCGTGCGAAGCCGTTTCCTCTAGACCAAGGCCACACCGATCGCAGTCTGGCAAATCCGCCAAGCCCCATATGAAGGCCCTGTCTTTGAGAGGCAGCCGATTCCGAGCCAGTCGCCAGGTAAGCGAAAACTCAGGGTTACTGAGGTAATCCGCCGCTGGCGCTCAAGACCAGTGAGAGCGAAACTCATCGTCCGACATGTCGAGATCCTCGTGTAGGGGATCCTTCGCGACTTCCTCCACAAGCAAACGATAGAAGTCCTTCCTAGGCCGAGAAAGGTCACTGCACCGAGGGACGGCCACCAAGGCCAACCGACACTCGCGAATGAAATCCGATTCCTCCCGGGGCCTGCAATGGCGCTCGGCCCGCGAGATGGAGGGATTGATAGTAAGGGTAGGGAAAGCGTCCCTAACAATCCCTGCCATGACCGAATCTCCTGTCAATGCGCGGCGTAGGAAAGTCAACCTCGAGGCACGTTTGTGACTCAGCAAGTGTGGCATTCCCAGCCCCCCATGACACGGACGTTGTGCACAGACTTCTCTGTCGACCCGATTCCCGCGTCTCCTCCATAGAATGGAGGTTAGCGAGCGCTCGAGCGGCTTCCTGTGGTCGTCACAGAGAGGAAGTACGGACAATCGATAAAGGACAAGAGGGAAAATGTATGTAGCACACACCTCCGCCATGCCCTTCACGGACAACCTCCGTCGACGCCAAGTCTGACCGGCGGCGTCGACCTTTGCTTGTACTTCAGACCATTTCTTCTCCAGCTGAAGGTCGGGTCCAAACCACACTCCGAGAATGCGGACAGGACCGTCCGTCCAAACGAAGGGCCCCGGAAGATCGACCACCTTCCAGACACCTAGCCGCAAGCCGGACGACTTGTTGCAGTTAATCTTGGCCCCTGTCACATTTTCGTACCGATCAAGCGCCTTCTGTACTGCCTCAATGCCTCTGCGGGACGACACGAAAGCAGTTACGTCATCGGCGTACGCGGAAACCCTGGCTCGAGCCCCGCCAGGAACGGCGATTCCGCGTAGGGCCGGCCTGCACGCCCTGTCCCTCAGCCGGCGAAGGAGAGGCTCCAACGCCAAAGCATAAAGTAGGGGCGACAGCGGGCAACCCCGACGAACCGATCTAGACAGCGCAAAAGCGCCCGACAGCTTTCCGTTCACCTGTACCACAGCACTGGGGGAGCGATACAGGAGGCTAATCCAGCGGCAGAAGTCGGGTGCGAATCCGGCGGCCTGCAGGACAGCAGCAAGATAGCGATGGTCAACCCTATCAAATGCCTTGGACTGATCTAAATTGACTAGCGCGGCTCTCTCGTCGTCTTTTACACCCTTTATGATCGTGCGGATCAAATGCAGGTTGCTCTGAATTGTTCGACCCCTCACAGCACAGGTCTGCTCGGGACCCAACAGAGACTCAGCAACTGACTGCAAGCGCTCCTTGCAGGATCTTGGCCATAATTTTAACTCTGTGTTTAGCAGAGTTATGGGCCTATAGTCGTCTAGTTTCCCCCGACACTCCTGCCCTTTTCAACAGCGTGATCACACCCTGGAGAACCGGTCGGGGAGGGACCCTGCCGGAACCAGTTGTTGAACACGACCGTCAAAATCGGGACAAAGATGTGCGACAGCCTCAAGTACACTTCATAGGACAGACCATCCAGACCGGGCGACTTGCCTCTGCCGACCTTCTTCAAAGCCGCGTAGACCTCGCCCTCGGTAACTTCTCCCTCGCAGCTAGTCGCTTCAGTCGGCGAAAGCCGAGGAAAGTCAGCCAAATAGCTGCGAAACTCCTCCTCACGCTCCCAGGCTCCCTGGTAAAACGGCTCTCGAAATGCCGCCGAAACCCCTCGCACATGTCGTCAGTGGCCCGAAGGGTACGCCCCTCCGGGGTTTCGACTTCACGAATGTAACGATCGCCACCTCGACGGACCTCTTCCCTCCGCAGATCTGCGCCCATATTCACGGCTTCGGAAGACATCTTGCTTAACCTATGTCTTATTACCTGGCCCATGTAGCGCTCGCTATTCAAACGCTGCAGGGCCTCCTTAGCTACTGCTATCTCTAGGGGATCCCCCCTCAGCCACCGCCCGGGCATGACTAGCTGTAAGCGTCCTCACCTTATCAGCTCTATCTAGGGCGAGCCGTTTGCTGAAATCAGTGGTGAAGGACCTAATTCTACATTTAAGTCTGTCCCACCACCTATTCCCAATAACCGCCCCCACTAGCTCCCGCTGCACTAAGTTAGTCAGCTGCTCCCGGAAGTCCTGCCTGTCCAGTAATGATAGATTGAACTTCCAGTAGCCAGCCATTCTAGGCCTATGTTCTAACGCCACACGGGCACAAACAATTTTGTGGTCCCTATAGTCTACCCAGTGGAACGTGGGACAATCTAACAGATCTATGTCGGCCCTCCTCACTAACATTCTGTCAAGGTAGCTAACCACCTTGTCACAAGGCCAGCTAAGAGCCCACGTCCACATTCCCCCCATGATCGACTCGGTATCTATCAACGAGACCGAAGTCTTTGATCAGATCGACCAGGCTACGATCGTCCCTTCTCCCGCTAGCACCCCGCCCCCGATCTATCTTGGGGTCCAGGACGGCATTCCAGTCCCCCATTAGAATAAAGCGCTTGGAATCCACCAGGAAAGGCTCCAACCGCCGATAAAACGAAACCCGCTCCTCCTGGTCGTTGGGCGCATAAACCGCAACGACCCGAAACGAACCACTTTTCACGGCAATATCGGCCACGATCAACCGTCCCTCGCCATCGGTATGCACAAGGTCCACCTTCGCATCTAGAGTCCGCTTCACCAGCAAAGACACTCCTCTGGCAGCCCGGTCCCCATATGCTGAATAGACGACAAAGTCGTTAGACAGCACACACGCATCGGAACTGCAAACAAAGTGGGTCTCTTTGATCGCGGCAACATCCACGCCGAACGACAGGAGATCCCGGAGCAGGCGGGCCGCCTTACCCCGATCCCTCAAGCCATTCACATTCAGCGTCGCTATCTTGACAGACATGGTTTAGGCCTGCAAAAAAGAAAGAAAAAGAAAAACATGCAAAAAGCCTACTCACATACCGGGCGGAAATCTGTGCTGGTAAGGACCCCGACGGCCTGTCCCAGGTTTCCGGTTCCTAATTCGGTCGTCATACGACCGTCCAGGACAATCCCGCCGACGTCCGTGGGGTACGTTCGTTTTACTGCCCTATATAACGAGGGATGGAGCAAAACGGGGACCCTCCCAGCACAAAAGTTCTTCAATTTTTTAAGGGCGGAGTTGTCCGTTTCCACGACTCGGATGTCGGGGAAGGCTTCTTTGGCTTCGAAGATGTGATTCCACACCTTCAAGTAAGCCCCCTTTTCCCTCACGCAGGTTATTACACCCGTGGCCTGTGGAAAGTTTCGGGGGTCCTCTATGCTTTTGCCATCTACGGAGTCCATTTTGTATAGACCTACTTGTATGGCTTTCCTTTGCTTCGTCAGGCCCCATTTGAAATCGTTTTTGTCGACCTTGCAAATAGATCCGGGGCCTGCGAACATCTTTTTTTTCTTTTTTCTCTGGACGGGTGGGGGGGGAAGAGGTCGATGTGGGGGGTGGGGTGGCCGATGCGTCTCGGGAGGAAGTGGAGGGAGGGGTGGAGCACAGGACAGGGAGGAGGTGTCTCCTAGGTTTGGTCGAAGCCACCGATCTTCTTGGTGAATCAGCAGGGAAGGAGAGCGACCTGGATCTCTCCATGCCTTCCTCCGCCCTACTACTGCTAGGATGTCTTTGTTGGCGTTTGTTTTCCTCCTCCTCGTCTTCGTCTTCCTCCCTGCACTTTTTCAGGGATGAAGCACGAGGTGGAGGCCTTCTGTCCACCTCCATCTGTTGATTCTGTTGTTGTTTTTGTTGTCGCTGCTGCTGCTGCTCTTTTTGCTGCTTTTGTTGTTTTCGTTGTTTCGGCTGCTGCTGCTGCTGCTGCTGGCCTTCCTTTGTTGACTGCAGCCCTTCCTTCTGTGTTGGTACCACCTTTTCAGGCTGAGGTATCTCTGTTTGTGGGAGTGGAGACAAAACTTTAGGAGACTTCCTGCCTCTGACCACCTCTTTCCATTCTCCCTCTGATTTCGAAGTCCCCTCCTCCGGTTGATTCGCTGCAACTGTTTTAGCTGTTGATGCTGCCGGTTGTGGTGCAGCTTGTGTGCCCTTCTTGCTGGGGCACTCTTTTGCCATGTGGCCCGACACCCACACGACCAACACCAAGGCTTTCTGCCCTCCACCACCACCAGCATCCTCCTGTCTCAATTTTTAGCGTGTTGGGGACGTTTCTAAATGCAGTCCTATTTAGGGTTATCTGCACCTCCATGTCCCCCGTCTCTATCCCGGACTTGCTTCTGAGGGCCTTCACTTCGTTGACCTCTCCATACTTGGTGAAGAAGGCCCCTATCCGGTCTTCCGAAATGTCCACAGGCACCTTCGCTGACCACACGAAGCAGCCAGAGGCAGCAGCAGCAGCAGAGCAGCCCAGCTTCAGCAGCAGCAGGCCGACCAGCTTCAATCAGCAGCAGCAGAGCAGCCCAGCTTCATCATCCTCAGCAGCAGGCCGACCAGCTTCAACTATCAGCAGCAGCAGCAGGCCGACCAGCTTCAACCATCAGCAGCAACAGCAGGCCGGCCAACTTCACCAGCAGCAGCAGCAGCAGCAGCAGCCGGCTACATGATATGCACTAGTCTACCCTCGGCTACATGATATGCACTAGCCTACACTCGGCTACATGATATGCACTAGTCTACCCTCGGCTACATGATATGCACTAGCCTACCCTCGGTTACATGATATGCACTAGTCGTTTTTCCGGACTACGCCTGGTTACATAATATACAATAGTCCTTTTCAGGACTAACCTAAAACAAATATTACGAATGTCCTTTTATTAGAACTACCAAGCTGCGATCCTGCACGACAGTCATACCAAGGACGAACTGACTACACCAGCGCCGTCCGCGTCGATCCTCTCTCTCCTCGAGCGCCGACGCGCTCTTTACACAAGTACAGACATCCGGCGATCGACTGGACCTCGAACACCGCTGTTCCATCGGCCTACCTCCAAGCCTTGAAACCTGGCAACGCTCCTTCAAAACTACACGACCGAACTACCACAAACGATTATCTGTATACTTGTGCCAGATTATTTAATAAAATTCGGCTTAAACTTTTACATCCTCGTCTTTGTTGTCCTTGCTTCGATCGTATTTCCCTATATTATTTTTCTGCTTGTGGGGTTAACAGGCAACCTGCTTAGCGTCGCAACAATATTTATGTTTAAAACTAAATTTTCTTTAACCTTATTAACCAATAATAGTTTAAGAATATATTTTATTTTTATTCTATACGCTTTAATTAAACTTCGTATAACGAATAATTTTATTTTTTTATAATGACTGAACGGGAGATATGAAATTAGATTAAGTAATATTCCTCCGATATTGAATAGTTGAGATATCAGAATTATTTCTTTTTTGTTGCTAAAAGGAAAAATAAAAAAAATAAAATAAATAAGATTCGCACTCTCCAAACATATGCCGAACAACAATTGGATTAATTTCAAAATTACTCTGAAAGATTATAAATATTTTTTTTAAATAAATATTGTTCACATTTTTTCCTGTCAAATCTGAAAAAAAATAACGCGTTTTTATAAAAATAAGCACCAATTCTCAAAGAAATACATTTTGACTTTTATTGAATTTTTTCTTTTTTTTTTTTTTTTTAGCAAGATCCAAGCCACAATTTTTTTTACTGAAATAATAATATCTTCATGGATTTATTTTTATATAACTGTAAAAACATTTGCGCGAACACCCCCACCCAAATTAAAAAAAAGCATATATGTGATCAAAAGCGGGACTGAAAAATACCCTAAACAAGATATTTCTCCAAATTTTTTAATAAAAAAAACTATTCACTATTCATTAATAAATGAATGTACTGATAATTTCGTTTAAATCAGATAATTCTCACATTTTTGGAAAATATTTTAAAAGAGGTGTTGTCGCACGTCGATTTATTACTGAGGGTAAATGAAAAATTATGGAAAAAATTCCGTATTTTTACAACATAGTTACATCCTGAATTGTTCCTGTTGGACGCCAAAGGCTACATACTTCTTGGTAAAGCGTAAATCGACTGAAAAAGTGTGAGAAAGGTGGGGCTTACAGACACACATGCTCACCGCGTCATGTAATCGCGAATTTAACAATACATATCTACTCACTTCATATCTATAAATACCTACACACTCTCAGCGTCCTTTATAAAAGTGGGTACGGCTATAAGCAAGTCGCCAACAAGCAACATAAGGATTGAAGAAAAAAATGAATTCAAAAACTTCTGGTAAGAATTGAGCTTCTTTTTTTTGCTTTTTTTTTTAACTTGTCCATTTGAAAGACACATATGCATGTATAAACATAATTTGATGTATATACGCGCGTATTTAGTTTGTACACGCGCAAATGTATTGCTCGTGTCTACACTCTCTACATTATTATTAATTAATAATTATTATTAATTTAATTTTAATAAGGAGAATTATATTGTGCTGATAGCTGGCTAAAAATGGTTAAAATCAGTTATTTAAACAAAAAGAGCTCATTCCAATCAATTTTAGTTTTGAAATACAGCAAAGTATTTTGCTGATTTGAAATATTAAATTTAATATTTTAGCTTGAAATTAAAACAAAAGCTTCAAATTTTTTCATTTTCTAAAAATTCATTAATATGAGGTATCAAACTATTTGATAGTAATAAATTATATTACAAATACATACATATATATATATATATATATATATATATAACACAGATTCACAAGAGGCCATATATATATATATATATATATATATATATATATATACACAGGTTCACAAGGAGGCCATATATATATATATCATATTCATATATATATATATATATTACAGGTTCAAGAAAGGAGGCTATATATATATATATATATATATATATATATATATATATATATATATATATATATATATATATATTATTTTATATATATATATATATATATATATATATATATATATAGGTTTACAATAAAGGATATATATATATATATATATATATATATATATATATATATATATATATATATATATATATATATATTACACAGGTTCACAAGAATGCCATATATATATATATATATATATATATATATATATATATATGTTACTGGTTCACAAGGAGGCCAAGGGGGCCTCTCGAGGTAGAGGGTTACGTTAGGAAGCAATATTTGTGCAAAGAGGAGTTAAAGGCTAAGTTTAATCGTTAGGTTAATATTGTAATGATTGCAGAAGCGTAATTATTTATATATGTGTGTGTATAAGTAATATATATGTATATAGGTAAATAAAGATTCTTATTCTCTATTTACAAACATAACTTTATTTATATCTGTATTTTTAGACACACACACATACATATATATTGTGCATTTAAGCAGCAATCCTTCATTTATACATGTTTCATTAAAGATAGGTACCTCCGCTTTTTCGCGGAAAACAGCGTAGCGCAATGAAAAAAAAAAAGGCCACAAACTTAATAAAAGTAATGTTTTATCTAAAGAAATGTTGTTATTAAGATGAAGCACGAAAGTATTTTTTGATTATTTTTTGAAATTTTTTAATCCTTTCTAACCCGCTCGAAATTTTACTTAAAATCTTGTTTTGTTTACGACATCGGGCTGACATAATTACATTGACTTTTTTTGCACATTTTCCGTTGAAAACATTGATTTGGTAATTCTTGTAAAAATCAAATAATTGTCTGATTTTAATGAAATTTTAGGACTTATTCACAAATGAATGTAATTATTTTTGAAATTTTTTTTTAGAAAATATTGGTAAAAAATATTTTTTTTTTTACATATGTTATCCACCACTAATTTAATTTAATGAAATTTCGCAAAAAAATTTCTATTTCCTGAATTCTTTTTTTCGTTAAATGTTGGATTCCTTGGAGAATCTAAATCACCTAATTTTTTTCATATTTGCACTATTCTAACTGAAAATTTATTCTGAATTGAAAAATAATGAATGCAATAAAAGTATGACATTATTTAATTAGCAACACTTTTAATTGCTTTTGTAAATAACACATTAAGGACATTATTGTCTAAAGAAATTAAATTTTTCCGGTGAATAATGAATTTTTACCATAATTTTTTCATTTTTTAAAAAATTCTAATTATAATAATTTATAATAGTTTAAAATCGTGTAAAATTCTGTATTGGGCTAGTTCCTGGATGTGATATAGTAATTAAGTGGAAACGTAATTTCCAAATCCAACATTGAAAAGATTAATAAACGTAGTTAAACTATTCTATTTTTAAAATTATTTTTTATTTTTTACTTAATTTGTTCCCTTTTTTCATCTATGAAAGGCTAAACGTGACATTATTATGAAAAGGTCACGTGATCTAAGAGTTTTGACTTTTTACAGAAATTGATTTAAGAAAATTATAAAGTATTTTTAATTTTTTATTTTTGTATAAAGCATCTTCGAAAGGTAAATAAACGTCAATAAATTATTAGATAATTGCGGAAAATATGTCCATTTGTAAAAATTACTAGGTAAGTAGTTAACACCCCCCCCCACACACACACACACACAAAAAAAATGAAATATTCACTGTATGTAAATATGTAAATTTTATGTCTAGTCAGCCATACTAGCTGCCATCGCTTCGTTACTCAGTCGTCCCTCAAACACCATTTCGGATGAACGGGGCCGATCCTTAGCAAATGGTTGTAAATTAATTTTTATGTTATTTAGGTACCTCCATGAGATCGCTAAAAAAGAGCATAGCATCATGAAAAAGACGCCAAACTAGACGAAAACAAAATTTTATCGTCTGAATGTTTATGTTATTATTAAGAGGAAAGATCAAAGTATTTTGATGGTATTTTTTTTACATTTTTTAATCGTTCCTAGCACGCCCGAAATTTTCGTTAAAAATCTTGTTTTTTTTTTTTTTTTTTAAAGCAAAATTGACAGATAATCAATCATGTCAACCCTTTTTTAACATTTTATATAAAAAAAAAATGTAAATCTGAGTTTGAAATTCTTTTAAAAATCAATTATCATTTTTTCAAAACTTATTTTAAGAAAGTCAGAAATTATAATGTTTATTTAAAATATTTTGAAACAAGCATTATTCAGTTTCTGCTCCGAAAAGGTGTAGTTTGAAAATAAAACAAAGCAGGTCATAACATTTCGCGTCACTTGACAGGTGATGAATGACGTATTGACGGATTACGTTAGCATAATTTATTCTACGGAAGGAGAGAAGTGAAATTATTTAGATTTAAGTGAACAAATTATTTACTTCGTTATTTTTAAGAAAATCTTCCAGCACTCTAATTTGTTTTTGTACTTAGCTTTCACCTTTACGTTTACGATGCTTTATGGAAAATATATTATAAAGAAATTAAAATAAGACTGTTGTGAGTGAGATTAAATTTCATAAGAAATGTATCTAATTAATTTACCTTTCTTATGAAATTTTATCAGAAGTGTACAAAAATATTATAATTTTACGTACATTTATTACAATTTACTGTGTTATTTGTATTTCCGTTCATTTTATTATTAATTTTGATATTTCATTTATGGAAAAATGTCATAACTGAGATTAATATAAGAATAAGATCATATAAGTTTCATGAGATGATACTGATACTTGTAGGTACCCTTCTCAGTTGAAATTGAAAAATCAAATTAACTTCTCCACATGTGTTTCGCAAAAGTAAAGGCCTTAACAACGGAGAACAATGTTTAACGCGAATAACGCAACTTAATTGTATTCTGGTTGGTCTTCCGTACTTTATAATTCCAGCCCGATTATAAACACAAAATTACATTTCTTAATTACTGTGGGTCTTTTGATTAGTCAAACAAAACGATACAATTTACATTGCACTAAAAAAATATCTATCTCATAAGGACATTTACGAAAGTGGGTGCGGCTTTTAACTAATTTTATAATATTTTAACAACTTGTAAAAATCTATTATGATTAAAGAAATAACAAATAATTGTATTAAAAATTCATTTTTCATAAAAAAAATTTTACTTTCAGAAAATATTGTCCATA